TGAACCGCGGTGGACCGGTCGGAATCAGAAGCTTTTGAGGATGGGCTGGATTCAAGATTATGTGCCACCTGCCCTGACGCCAGCTGCTCGCCATGTGAGCACGACGGTTTCAGATGCTGCAACGGAAGTTATGAGGAGGAAGTATGAAACGTATTTCAGACCTAAAAGCGACAGCAGCAGTGATGTCTAGCGTTACAGTTTGACGCAGAATATTGTCCACGTGGTTGGCACCGTGCTGGTGCAACTCCATCTCATCTTAAAACTGCTACGCGCTTGCATACATGCAATGTAAATAATATCACAGAACTGCGAAGCAGCAGAACCACAGAAGCACTGAACTTTACTGCTCCCGATTAAAAATAACTGCTGTTAGTAAAAAGATACGATAAAAAACCCCATACTAACTGTATTTCTTCCCCAGATAAAAGTGGGGCAAAAAATTGCATTTCAGCGAAAACACAATCAGCTAAAAATCAGAAAATCGTAGTGGAGATCATGTTAACAATTCCCGCTATTTGTTTTCAGAATTTTTGATGACATGAACACAAAACATCCCGTCCTTCATGCTCCAGAGATTCTGCACATAGAAAAATCAAATGGAAATTAAGGCTAAAAAAAAATTATTTCATCATTATTTCCAGTCAAGTCAGTGAAAAATAGGCAAAGATGAAAGTGCCGCAGAACTAAGAGGCGACGAGGACGGACCGTGTGTTTTTTGAGAACAATGACGAAGCACTATCAAAGAATGGCTGAAAAAACAACGAAACTTCAGAAGATACATATTCTGTCCCAAACTGAAAGTACCGTTCTGTTCTGTGGGATGGGAGTGACGGAGAAGTGACACAGTAAATGGACGAATGCATGAAGCGTGTTTTACAGTAATCCCATAAAAATGCGCAATGCCAGAAAAATTCTCTAAAAACGGAATATAGGCGCCAACAGATTGAAAGTTCGATAAGCACCCGAAGACAACAGATTTGCGCATTTTCGCAATTAATTGACGGGAACATGCGAACCAGAACAAGCATGAAAATCACCGTGCTACTCCAATGAAGCTGGAATACTATATTCATAGCGAAACGCCATTATGCGACATCAGGTGAGCAAAAAAATGATCACTGGATTTCCAGAACGAAGGAAAAATAGTAATAATGCGTGCACAAGCAATGCCGCTGCTGCTCATTCCACACCTCATCTACTGCATCAATCTCTCCCGCTCCTGCTGAAGCTTCAGCAAGAATCATCAAAGAGGACACCGGTAACTTCCTTTCCAGATACCGCTCAATTCAAGACAAAAATTATAAGCGCATAAAACGGTTAGAAAATTTCCCCCCGTTTTAACTCATCCGAAAACAGAATTTGCAAGGATTCCTCGTTGTCCGAGATGTATTCTCTCCTGGCCATTCCAAGTACACCCCTAGACGTGTCGCCAGAAGCAATTCCTATGTATTATTAAAGTGCTTATAATGCTTATACTAAGGCACCAGTCAATCTGCTACTCAGTAATAGGCGAGAAACAGAAAAAATGCATGTCTGCTTCCAAGTCATTTTGTCGTCATGAAAGGGGACGGTAAAGAGCTTGCAAGACCCAACTGCTGCGCTTTGCCATAAAGATGATTTGGTTCAACGCATTGGTGGCAAAACGAAATAAACCACGGTTCTTCATCATCCTGTTTTAAAACATTATCCAGCAAGTGCAAGTACTCAGCCCAGAAAATCAGATGTTACCCGTTACAATCGCGCTAACAGCAAAACAGTGAAAGGCGAGAGAAGTGAGAGAAATTCCATCGATTTAAATGGACCACTCGCTTCTCCGTCTTATCTCATGAATACAATAATTCTCATATAAATCCCCCTTAGGCTACTGTAAGCAGTCTTTATCAGTCTACTTATTCAATCGGTCCTAAGCCGTCACAAACATAGCCAGACCGTACAACTTCAGCATGAGGCCATCAAGAGGGGTGGAACAATATTCAAAATTTCCCTCCACTTCCCAACGGGCAGCAAGAGCGCAAAACTGATCTCAGTCGTTTCATTTCAAAGACATTTCACAGCACGTCAAACACGGTTGAATTTCGACGTTGTTTCGCCGCGTAGATTCGAGCCGCTAAGTCTCTAATATGTGAAGAAAACAACTGATGCACATGAAACTTTCTATTTGTAACTGAATAATAGGTTTTTACGTACAGGGGTTCAAGAAAAAGAAAAACAAAAAAGGCTGATAAAGTGTTCCGAACTGCATGCATGCAGACGTGCCGCAGAAACCGTGAACAAATCAAGCAATCCGGCAAACCCTAGTTTTTTTCCCCCTGAATTTGCCATACAACGGGTTATTATAAGTCTTAATGACGAGAAAAGCCAACGGGAGAGCTGTGAATGTATGGAGCTGAAATAGTTTATCTATTGACATGGCCAGATTTTTTGATTTTGCCGGTCATTAATCACTGCGGTGTAAAGTGGAAAAAACTACAGTAAGTAAGAATTCTTATACTATTCCGTTGATTTCTTACTGTTTAATTTTGGTTAAGTGTTAGCGCTTAACACTTCATTCCATACCTTTACATTCATTCTGCTTTTCTCCTTTCTCTTCTGCCTAACTTTTATCCCCCAAAATTTCACTTCCTGTTTGCCCTTTTATATTTGTATATTATTTTTAAGGTTTTTTTAATAGCACTACAACCGTCGTGCTGACAAAATCCAGGTGTAATGAAATGGAATGAATATGACACAGTGGACCGAAACATTCCATTTCAACAATACTTTATATTACCAAATATCATGAAGTGTTGACATGGATAGATTTGTTGGATATTGTCGGTCATGTGAGTGAACCGGCTGACCTGCTTGTAGAAATGGAATAATCTTAGTCTCCGCATCACAATTCATCTCAGAAACCATAAAATCTGATGTCTCTGTATGCTAAAAACTGACTTGCTTGCTCATGGGGAATTTTACGCATATTTTGTTCAGAAATCCCCTCTCCCTCGTTCCTTTTCCCGCGCCTTCCCTTCACAGAGCGCATAAACAACAGGCGCACAAATGGATTTAAAACACTTGCTTAAAGCAGTCAATAAGCACAGTATGCTAATTAATTCTGAAAGCACAACATACAGCTGGTTTCGGCGGCAACGGAGGAGGCGTCCTTCTCGTGTTGTTTTTCAGTGACGACTTTGTTGTTAGACTGTTCGATATCACTTCCGCATTCCCATCACACACCCCCGTCATGCTGCTGCAACAAAACGCATCGTCAAACCGCGCAGACCCCTCTCGCTAAACGTAATGCAGATTAGCCTACCATTCCCAGCAGCCAGTCTCATTGAGTTCTGCATCTACGTAGTACTGCCAGCAGCCCCCTCCCCTTCCCGCTAGCTCTCCCCTCCCCACAGATTTGATGATAACTCATCTCGTCTCTACCCTCAAAATAATTTTTCTTTCGTGTCAAAACCATAATGCGCGAGCCATCTTTAGCAGCATGGAGGACGAATATTCTGCTCAATTTCAAAAATCGTATGCCTTTTCCGGCAACGTGCAGGATGCAGTTCGAGACACAAAATCAGCTTCTTAAACAATCAAGACTGAGTCAGAGGGAGCAAAATTCAAAAAAAAACAAATTTTTTTTTTTTTAACTCACTGCGTTTAATCAAGATTCCCCTGTGCGTTTCAAGAAGTTTTGTGTTTTATTATGCAGGCGATCCTTTTTTTTTTTGCATGCTGCAACACTGGTGGTTACCTAATCACCAAAACTACCGGGACAATCAGCGCGAGATTCCTAATTAGTGGTGTGTTACCCGAATGCTGGCACACACAGTAAGTGCAGCTGTGCACGTCTCCTCGATCTTGAAATGCACACTTCCAATTAGTAAACACAGCCTTTTATGAGCGCCAACTCTTCGGAAAGTGCCACAGTGGCCTTTATTTTTCCATAGTGGGTACCACTTACTGGACATCCGCCTGCTATCGGACGGCGAGCAACAGGTCCTGCCTATTTTATTTTAATTTCTAGAGTGGTTGCAATGGCACTTTTAAAATTGTCCAATGGTGTAGAATCCGACTGCCTTTTTTTTAAGTGTCAAGTTGAAGAAGTAACTACAGGGCAGAGAGAAGGGAGGCAACATAAAACAGGATTTGGCATGAAAACGGAAGAGGCCAGATATAAAAAACAAATTTCCAACCTATCTGAACTTCCAGAATATGTTACAGGAGGTGCAGCAGGATGCACGGATTGACGAGGGGGTATCATCGGAGGTAAATCTGAACATGCACTTTCACTGCTCGTTGCTGATGGTGCCACTGCTGCCATCTCAAACGATCCATCACTCTCCATGCCCGGTGATGCCGAAATTACTGCAAGAAAAGGCGCAACTGCGATTAGAATCTTCCTTTGCAACAGCGCTTTGCTCGAAGGAGCGAGTGTTGTTAGCATAACAGTAGCAAGCTATGGGGGAAGACAGGAAGGAGAAGACGGGGAAGTGGGGGGAGAAAGGAAGAGCTGGGACGAAATTACAAAAAAGAACGGCAAAGAAGAATTTTAGCTAGCAGACGACTATAAAATATATAAGTCATCTCACACAACTTCAGGATCAAAATTTCCTGTCAATGTGCATGCAAAACATGCGAATCATTTGCACTGAGCGCTAAATTGTGCCAATATTTAGTGGAAAAAGCAAAAAACGGAAGTATTTGAGTTACCCAGATGGTCGGTTTTTGCAGAAGAATGTGTGTCATCCTCAGCATCGTCATCGTATGGCAACTGCGAGTCTGTGATCATAAATTTTGGTTTATCAGTTTCTTGAGCCATGACGGTTTTCGCATAGAATTTCAATGCTGTCACAACTGCTGAAGGGTTTTTCTTCTGGTCGGCTTCACTGAAATTGCTCGTTCTTTAGAAAATATCCCCTACCCACAGTGTGAGGCGACCTCGGCCAGCTCGCTGCTTCTCATCAAAGAGTCGCAAATTGCACACAACTACTACCTGAGCTCTGTAGTTAAAAATGAAGTTGAACGGAGTGCAGAAGCGAATTTATGCAGACACACAAACCAAGAAAAGATGTCAAAATCAGCACAGGCACGCTACAAATAAACGGAGAAGTGTGGTGGAGGAGCCACTGCACGTGACCAACCTGATATCCCGAAGCAACGTGTCCATCCAAGGCTGCGGCAAGCCAGTGAATTTTTTTCCATCATAACCAACATGTATTCGATGCACGGTATTATAGGGTGAGCTTATCTCTCCGAGACCCGAATAGTACGAAGATGAGGATGAAGAACTCAGTTCGTTGTTATTGCTGTTAAAAAAGCGTCCTAAAATATTCCTGAGCCGAACCTGAAACAATGCATTCATTTTGCAGTAGAACAAACCACTTCAATCCACCCCGCCTCGGCAGTGAAATGGCCACTCAATACAAACACTGTGCCAGCGGTAACGCCAAAAATCAGGGTCGTTGCATATATGCCGCAAACGGCGCTCCTTT